GTCCCCCGGCCCGCGGCTGCGCCGGCCGCTCCCCGCCTGCGCCGGGAGGGTTTGGCTCGTTGCGACATAGGCAGGGATGCGTGTCCGCCAGCTGCCTTGAGCGGGGAGCTTTCCCGTCCGACTGCCCAGCGGGCGCTAGCCCTGCCCTGGGGAGCATCCTCTGCCTTCAGTGGCGGCACCCCTACGTTCCCGGTCGCCAAGGGGACACGCTGATAGCCCGGGTGCGTTTAACTCGGCCGTGAGAAACCCTCCTGTTCTCTCTGCTGTATTTCTGCCTCGGGTCTAGGAATTTTAAATGCTGTCCTAGCTAACAGAACCACTCCTGTCAGTGGTAATTGCTAGCCTGGCTGAGTTTCCAGCCAACACTGGGTTGCCTTACTCTTCCTCCGCAGAGGCTCTTTTGATTATTAGTCTGTCCTCCTGGTTTTGTGCCTAGATTCTATGGCAGCTCAAGGTTGGACCAGCGGTATTTTTGGATGGAGTATGCAAGCTAGGTAGTCTAGTCTTGTTCAAGGGCAAAAATAGCCAATCTGGGAGAAGTTTCTGCCTGACTTAATAAGTTGGTAAATTCAGCAAAAAGCCTGAACACTGTCACTCATTAAACGTTCATGTTACTCCAACATATAGCAAGTAGTGTTATTATGCCTATAAATACATTTTTTATTCTGCCATACTGTTTTCTGAAGTAGGACTTTTTGTGGGAGTGGGTTGGAAGGCTCAGCTGCCAGCTGTGGACTTAGAGATGTATTTCTTTTCATGAATTCTTTATTTCTCAGTGTAATGGACTCGTTCCTTGTCTTGCATTACCAAAGCTCACTGAAGTCAGCAGACTTTGAGGCAGATCCCATGTAGGCAATGAAGAGAGAAGGGGAAAATAGGAGGAACCCTTTCTAATTATATCCATTTATCCTCTGTTACCTAAGCTACAGTTTGGAACCTAACTAGCAGTAAAGTCTTGACAGTAATCAATTACAATAAATTTTTCCCTAGCTGAAAGCAATGGCAAATTCGACTGATAAGACACATTTTCTGCCAGTTAATGGGGAAAAAAAATACATGTGTATCAAAAAAGAACGTGAATGAAGTTTGCGGCGCTATTTCTAGACAGTTGCTGCAGTTTTTTAATAACAATGTGTCGTCTGTGTTTTTCTTATGTCTTTCACAATAGCTGTGGACATATCCCTCAGAAAAGGTAAGGGGTTTTGCCATTTTCAAGCCTGCATGAGTGTTATCAAGAGAAACACAGGTTGTGCCTACACATGCATTTTAAATACTGCTTTTGCAGTGTTAACGGCCAGATTTAATTTTTGTGTAAGATGTTAGCAGACTCTATGATAATGCATGCTTAACTGTTCAAAAATCTTAGTATGAAAGGTGCTTAAATCCCCACTTTTAGGTTGGCCATGCAGGAACATCTAAGGATAAAGAAAAGCCAGCATATATCCCATAGAGGGATTTTTAATGATCTGTCTTTATATCCCATTTGTTCTGAGTACATTACAAATGTTGCTGAATGATTAGCTTCTGTAAGGAGATGTAGGTTAGCAGATTGTGTCTGCCCTGTGTTTGGAAAGAAATATTTACTGAGTAAAACAAAACTGTTTGTTTCCACAGTCTAAATATTGGGACTATTCTGCTGAGAAACGTGCAAGTGCATAATTTTAGATTATGTATCTTTTCACTTTGATCTTCACTTTCCTTGTAATCAAAATAAGCCATGCTGCTTCATGCATGAGAAAGTCCTTGGCTTATGATAGTCTGAAAACAGACATTGTTTACTTCCTGGGCAGTCAGTAACATAACAGCACAGAGCAATGCTTACAATTGGACTGTGTGAACACATCGTGATACACTGCAGTATATTCTCCATGAAACTATTACATATACCCCAGAAGAGAAATGGTTGTTTTCTCTGCTTGTGTAAGGGGATTTCTCATTTTATCCATTTAAATTCCTTAAAAAGAAAAAAAAGCCGCCTTGAACCCTTGTAATGAAGCCCTTTTTTTCAAAGGTTGCAAGTGTCAGCTTGCTCTCTGGCACAGCATTGCTTCTTTGTAAGGAACTCCTAGGGTCTTCTAATTGCGGAAGATTGATGAGGGAGCTGAGCAGTGCAGGACATAGAAGAACAGTGCCATGCAGATCAGCCAAAACTCTTCATGCATTAAGAAAAGTTTGGAGATGCTATTTGCCATTCCAGTAATATAAGAGGCTTTTTACCTGTGTTGTATTTTCCATATAAACTATCGTACAGTGCAAAACTCAACCAGATGGAAGTATTAGCATTCACTTTTGATATCAACAGGCATAGTTTCTGTAACAAGTTTCTTCCCATTTCTGCAGGACAGACAGTTTGCCGGAGCGGAACACAGCGACCATGCTACAAAATAGTTTATTTTCATGATGCTTCACGCAGGATCAGCTATGAAGAAGCACAGCTTGCCTGTAGAGCTGATGGCGGACATCTAGTCAGTATTGAAACAGAAGCAGAGCAAAGACTGATTGAGAAATTTATTGAGAGTCTCTTAGCTTCTGATGGAGATTTTTGGATTGGGCTTAGGAGGAAAAAGGAGGAGGTAAACAATAGTACAGAGTGTCAGAACCTCTACTTCTGGTCAGATGGCAGCTCATCCAAGTTTCGGTAGGTATCTGCGAGTGAGACTGGGAAGCAACCTGGTCTGGCATTGTCACCTGCCTTTAGCAATCAGAAAGGATAAGCTTGATAGAATCAAAGAAAGTTGTCCCAGTGATCCTTCTGCAGTCAGTGAAGAGTGGTAGTATCTCCAGAGAGCAATTCGTCCCATCCAGATGTAAGGGATAGAAAACTTGCCGTCTAGAGACCTTGCTCTGTCTCTGTTGCTCTGTATAACACATCCAGAGTGTCTAGATAGATTGAATGTCTAGATAGATTGATAATTTTTGATTTCTGAAATGGGGTGAAGGAACAAGCGTTCTGGACTTAATCTCTGATTAGGTGTGTACAAAATGCATGTTTTGATCTGAAGGTTCCTGCACTTCAGATCCTCTGAAGTTTTGCCCCCAATGTCCTGAGCAATAGGCTCTTCTCCTTCTACTTGCCAAGGGAATAGTGTTTTTTTGCTGTGAGACAGTAAAATTGGAGACCTGCAGTATTTATTGTAGGCATGAAAAATTAAAATTTTTTCAAGACTTATTAGATTTCTGCCTCCTTGTCTTAAGGCAAATGGAACCACAGCATTATATTGCCAAATATAAAGGTAACAACTTTTACAAACAATACAAGTTTGCTAGAGTTGTTTTCACTACTTTCACATTTTTGTTCAGCATAGACCCAAAGTGTGTTTAGCCTCAGAAGTTCTGCTAACTTATGATTTCATTTCAGTCATGATTCATGGTGGGGTGGACACATGACAGGGACGGGGACTAGGAGAGGAAGGAAGCAAGAGAGGAATACAGCATTGTAATGATTGAAAAATTACGGCTTTAACATGTGTCAGTTCTTTCCCATGTTGAATACCTTGGTATATCTGTAATTCTTTATATTGTATGGCTGAGCTTTCAGAAAGTGCTTGGTGTGCAGAACATTGCTTGTTCCAAAATTAGTGGGTATTGAACGTTTTTCAAAATCAGGACACAGTCTTAGAAGTGTTTCTCTGAGATGCATAAAATGCCCCTTCAGTAGTGATTGTATTATAGAGTGGTAGATAGTGAAGCCTACTTCCTGAGTGCCACTTGGAAAGGCCTATACAGTTCTACAGTGGTGAAATTTATTATTAAAAAAATAATAATTATCTGCGAGAGGTTTTTTTCATGTTAGTGTTTTTCTAGACAGAGGAAAACAGATCCTGCTTTAGCTTTTTAATTTTCTTATTAAATAGTTGTCAAAATTTTGGAGGCATTGGGTACTGAGGCTGGAGAGCAAAAATAATTTTGTTAGACGATTTTGCGCAAGTCTAAAATTATGGAGAGAATGTCAAAGTTCTCCTGAGCTTTTTCTTTGCCTCGCAGAGGAGTTTCAAGCAGTGAGGTACACAGCCCTTCACTCCCTAACATTTGTTGAACACCTTGCTTGCTGAGTTTTCTCTGAAAATTAAGAATTCCAAAGGGAGAATATATACTGTAAATAATTGTATTGGTATTGTTCCTACTTTTACACAGTGGAAGTTAAAGTTACATCCTTTAACAGGATGAGTTTCAATAAGACCAAGTGCCGGGTCCTGCACTTGGGTCACAACAACCCCATGCAGCGCTACAGCTTGGGGAAGAATGGCTGGAGAGCTGCCTGATAGAAAAGGAGCTGGGGGTGTTGGTCGCCTATCAGCTGAACAGGAGCCAGCAGTGTGCCCAGGTGGCCACGAAGGCCAACAGCATCCTGGCCTGTGTCGGGAACAGCATGGTGAGTAGGACCCGAGAGGTGATCATCCCCCTGCACTGGGCACTGGTGAGGCTTCACCTCGAGTACTGTGTCCAGTTTTGGGCCCCTCACCACAAAAAAGACATTGAGGTGCTGGAGCAGGTCCAGAGAAGGGCAACAAAGCTGGTGAGGGGTCTGGGAGAAAGTCTTATGAGGAGAGGCTGAGGGAGCTGGGGTTGTTCAGTCTGAAGAAGAGGAGGCTGAGGGGAGACCTTATCGCGCTCTATAACTACCTGAAGGGGGGTGTAGAGAAGCAGGGGTCGGTCTTGTCTCCCAAGTCACAGGAGATAGGACAAGGGGAAATGGCCTCAAGTTGCACCAGGGGAGGCTTAGATTGGATATTAGGAAAAATTTCTTCATGGAAAGGGTTATCCAGCATTGAAACAGGCTGCCCAGGGAAGTGGTTGAGGCACCATCCCTGGAGGTGTTCAAAAGGCAGGTTGACATGGTCCTCAGGAATATGGTTTAGTGATTTTTTTATTGCTTATTTATTTTTTTGTCAGAGTTAGGTTGATGGTTGGACTAGATATCTTTAAGGTCCCTTCCAACCTAGATGATTCTATGAAACAGGGAGCTGAGGGTGGGGTGGAGTGTGTTGAGCTGTATTCTCTTTGATTCTGCCCTCTGTGGTGCCATGTACGCTGTATTCCCATCTGAGCTTTGCAGTACCATGAAAAGTGACATCAAGTCTTACATGACATGTTTGTTGTATTTTCTTAGGAACTGGTATGTAGATGAGCCATCCTGTGGGAGTGAAATCTGTGTTGTGATGTACCACCAGCCATCTGCCCCACCAGGTGTTGGAGGTCCCTACATGTTTCAATGGAATGATGACAGATGCAACATGAAAAATAACTTCATTTGCAAATATTCTCTTGGTAATGAGTCATTCTGTCACTTTAAAAATCACCCTGTTCCCAGTCCCCAGGAGGAAGTATGAGGAGATTGCAGTAGCAGATAGGGAAACCTTTTCTTACCTTCACTGGAAGGATCTGGTGGGATACCGATATCTTTAAGTTTATGCAAGTCCTGGGGAAAACAATTTCAGTATCTAATATCTGTAGCTACTTGCCTTCTGGCTTATATGAATTCTCAGAGGATTTTTATAAAGTATTTGAGATCTCAAATGGGGTCCGAGGGAGACAGCACACTAAAGAAAGGTGCTTATGTTACCTTATCGCGCTCTATAACTACCTGAAGGGGGGTGTAGAGAAGCAGGGGTCGGTCTTGTCTCCCAAGTCACAGGAGATAGGACAAGGGGAAATGGCCTCAAGTTGCACCAGGGGAGGCTTAGATTGGATATTAGGAAAAATTTCTTCATGGAAAGGGTTATCCAGCATTGAAACAGGCTGCCCAGGGAAGTGGTTGAGGCACCATCCCTGGAGGTGTTCAAAAGGCAGGTTGACATGGTCCTCAGGAATATGGTTTAGTGATTTTTTTATTGCTTATTTATTTTTTTGTCAGAGTTAGGTTGATGGTTGGACTAGATATCTTTAAGGTCCCTTCCAACCTAGATGATTCTATGAAACAGGGAGCTGAGGGTGGGGTGGAGTGTGTTGAGCTGTATTCTCTTTGATTCTGCCCTCTGTGGTGCCATGTACGCTGTATTCCCATCTGAGCTTTGCAGTACCATGAAAAGTGACATCAAGTCTTACATGACATGTTTGTTGTATTTTCTTAGGAACTGGTATGTAGATGAGCCATCCTGTGGGAGTGAAATCTGTGTTGTGATGTACCACCAGCCATCTGCCCCACCAGGTGTTGGAGGTCCCTACATGTTTCAATGGAATGATGACAGATGCAACATGAAAAATAACTTCATTTGCAAATATTCTCTTGGTAATGAGTCATTCTGTCACTTTAAAAATCACCCTGTTCCCAGTCCCCAGGAGGAAGTATGAGGAGATTGCAGTAGCAGATAGGGAAACCTTTTCTTACCTTCACTGGAAGGATCTGGTGGGATACCGATATCTTTAAGTTTATGCAAGTCCTGGGGAAAACAATTTCAGTATCTAATATCTGTAGCTACTTGCCTTCTGGCTTATATGAATTCTCAGAGGATTTTTATAAAGTATTTGAGATCTCAAATGGGGTCCGAGGGAGACAGCACACTAAAGAAAGGTGCTTATGTTATTAGATTATATTCAGTACACTTGGTCTCCCTACTCAAGCTTATGAGGAAATTGTGCGTATCTTTTTTTTCTTCTAGAGAAGCCAACAAATGCTCCAATAGAGAAGTCTCAAAAAGGTAAGCTACAGATATTTGTTTGGGGCCTTTTTTAGTTATATGCTAACTTTCAGTAGAAATACGCTGTTACATTAATTGTTAAGGGCAATCACAGACTGAAAACTTACCAGTCAAGAAACTTCCCTGCAGTTTGCACTGTCCTTGTGCTATTCCATAATCCATTCTGCAGGAACACACTCTTGATGTGGCTGATGCAGTATATGGGACTGCTGGTCATGCTGCAGAAGTTGAAGCAAAAGAGTACCAATACACCTTACACATCTTTGCAGCTGGCAGTCTCTTCAATCTGCCTCACTCACACTTTTTATGATTCTCAAACTCTTTCAAATAACACCTGCAATATTAATTAAGCTGCTTCTTTCCAGATGTTGTAACAGAGCCCTTGAGCCCAGTATTCCCAGGAGAACGCCATAATAAAGATGCTAATGTAACAGTTGTAGAAGCCAAAGGTATGTTGTGCATTCAACAGCTGGCCTGTTCTCTCTGCAGGCACAGTTTTCTCACATGTGGCTCCAAACAGTCAACATTTCAGTTTGAAGTGTTTGACTCTAAATGTAGAAGACTGAATTTAGACAACTGTGTCTGGAAAAAAAACCCAAAAAACACACCTTCCCTCATCTTTTCCAGTACAAACCTAAACTGATTGCTTTGGCTCCCAAAATGTTCTAAATCTAAAGCTGTGCAAAGTATTTTGTGTCTGTTAAAGGTACTTTTAATTTATTGAATCACTTTCGAATGTTTAAATTGTTAATGTTCTATTAGTAAGTCTATTATTAACTGTGAGATATTTGCAATTTCTTGTTACCACACTGATTTCCCCCCTACAAATTCAGGGATCATAGACGACATTTTGCTTTATGAAATCTTTTGGCTGGGGTTCCTAAGCCTTTAAAAGACAGCCTATCTCATTAACTTGCACTACCATTGCTGCCTTACAGTTAGGCAGTCAGACTTACTTGTTCCTCATCTTGAAGATTGGAGCTTATTTTATTTTAACCTGCTTAACTAGATGATAGGTCTCTGTTAGTCTTGCTGCCTTAGAGGAGAAGTAGATACTGCTAGATTATGAACAAGACTAGAAGCCCATTGAGGTGTGATGCTGCTGCCTTTTGCAACTGTTATTTTTTCTATGTGCATGTCAAATGCAACTGGGAGTGAATAAAAGCTGTAATCTATTTTTTACTCCTAGAACCTGTTCAGGGTCTTGCCTACATCCTTATTCCCAGCATTCCTGTGCTGCTTCTCCTGATTGTCATTATAGCCATCTTCTGTTTTTGGCTTTTTGTGAAGAGGTAAGTGACAATTTTCGTGTAACAAGTGAACCTGTGATATCTTGTCCTGGCGATCATTTTACAGCTAGCTTCAGGATCCTGTAAGCCCTGGAGAAAACTGCTTTCAGCCAAATAAATGTTTAAAAAGTGGCATGGCTGCTCCAGGCTGAGTTACTTGTGAAGTAGAATTTTACTTTATTATGTTCACAGATGTGTAAGTAAGATAAGATAGTGTAAAACACTAACTAAGTAAGATAGTGTAAAGCAAGATGATGTTTTTGAAGTGTTAGCACTTAAGTTTTCTTATTAAAGATCTGAATTGTCAGAAGAGCTCCTTCAAAAGGGAAAAACATAGTAATAGAAATAAAAGAATATCTATTTGGAGCAAATAACTTTTACCAATTTCCTCTCCTTGCTTTCCCTGTGTGCATAGTACCTCTGGTGGGAATGCTAGCTGTGGTTTTGGGAGTGTCAGTGTTGAGTTCTGCTGCCTCAGCATCTCAGCTGGCAGCAGGGTGCAAGGGTCCTGCCATGAGACTACCCCAGGTGTGCAGCCTGCTGTCACACACCTGGAACAGCAAGTAATAACAAATATCCTGAGTCCAGGCTCTGAGTGTCAGCTTTCTTCCAGGGTCATAATTAAATTACTGTAAGAGAGGTGTGATATTGTTTTGTATTTGCCTCTGTAAAAAAGCATATTATGACTTGCCCTCTTTTCTCCATCCCTAAGGAGACAGGAGCAAGTAGATGCAAGCCCAAAGGAGGAAGACGCATGGCTGTCTAACCCCAGGAGGAACAGTCCAAATCTGGATATTTACAAAGTAATCAAGAAGCAATCAGAAGCAGATCTGGCTGGAACCAGGCCTGACACTAAGAATTCTTCCTTCCGTACACAGGAAGATAAGGTGCTTGACAACCTCTCCAGGGATTATGATGACGCAGCAATGAATACATCAACGAGTGGCTTTGTGACATTGGCCAGTACTGAAAGTGGCTTTGTGACCAATGATATCTATGAGCTGTGTGGAGATCGTGTGGGGAGGAGCAAGGAATCAGCCTGGGTGGAGAATGAGATTTATGGATACTAAGGAAATGGACAAAAAAAGCCTGGAATGTGGGTGACAAAGTGAATATCAATGCAAGTTAAGCTGCCCTCCCTATGCACTTGTTTTAATAATAGTATATGTGATGTTTATCCTGGTTTTGTGTTGTCCCTATATTCTTCTCTTTTTTGAAAGAATATGGGTTTTTAAAGATCCAAACAGAAAAGAATGTTTGTCTTTTGCTTTGCATCGAGCCTCCTTTTGCCTGATTCTTTTTTGTACTCCAAAGATATGTCTTTGAAACTAAAGGACAGTCCAAACTCCCTGTCTATTTAACTTACCTACGCATCTTCAGAGGTGCTGAAAATCAGAAGTCAGTCACTGCTCATGCTTGGTTTCTCATAGGTGTCCCCAAGAAAGCTGCAGTGGTTGTAGGTTGGTCGTTGTTTCCATGTCAGCCCATATCCCAGCTGTCTTGGCCACCCTCATCTGCCTGTGACACTGACAGACACTTCACAAGGAGAGTAGTGTGATTTCTGCTTCTTTCCCTCCCTCCTCATTCTTACTGCCAAGACAAGGTATGTGAGTCACAGCACGTAACTGTGTGTTACTTATGCCATTGGGTTGGTTTTTAAAAGATCCCCGTAAGTCCTTTGGTGTCATAAGGCTGTGTTCCCTCACCTTCTGGCAAAAGGAATTGCAAAGCAAGGAACAAGGGACTTCACAGCAATGCTAAAGGAAGGAAACGGGGTACTGCAAAGCATTCTGATTGATCTCAGGAATTACAGCAGCCTGGTTAGCTGTCCAGAGATGTGCTAATTTGGCTTAAATGACAAACAGAGTACCAATTCTGTTCTTGTAGAAGGAATCGCCAGTTGTACTTTCATTCTAGATCTTTTTCCTCTTTGGGCCTGTGATGTGTACTGAATTCCATGAAGACTGACATCCTGATGTTCATCTTCATAGAGATGGAATTTATGGAAAGGTAGGTAAACATAAAGAGTTGGATTAAAAACAGCATTTTGATAAGTAAACTAAGGTATCATGCTAATTAGCTATAATAAATTATTTACAGGGACTTCACATATTTCAATACATAGATTAAATAAGTATTAAGGTGAGGTACTGAGGATAGTTAGTTTATGGAATTTCCTCTCTGACAGTGGAAGGAATGATGTCTGCTTTTACCATAGATTTTAAAGCTTCTTTCTGAAGTCAGTATTAGTACCTCCCATTCTCCTGCACCTTTGGAGGAGTAGAAATGTTATAGGATAGAATGATAGAAATGATGTGCAGGATATAGCAACTGCCACACAATTAAATAGAAATTCAGGTGAAATGAGAATTTTCCTATTAGATATGAGGAACAAGCAAGAATATGAAGCAACAGCATTTACCTCAGAGTTAACGGTTTGTAGTTCACTGCTTGACTTCTAAGGGAAAATGACGAGATGATCCTGCACACCAAGGGTTTTTTCAAATCATCATCTTTGTTTCTCTGTTATTTGCAACACATTTGCACTAAGAATGCAGAAAGGCAAGTAAATAAGAAGTTGGGTGCCTAGCTTTTTCTTTAGGCTGTGCTTTCCTAGTTGTGGTTTAGTGAAGAGATACCGAGAGTTATCACAGCAAGTTGAATACCACACAGCTTTACTTGGAATCAGGAAGGTAAAGAATTTGCTCATCACCATGGATTCTTAACTAATTAGTTGTATTTGATTTTTAACTCATCACATGGACAAGTTTTCATCTTCCATGCATTAGACAGATGATATTCCAGTATCTCGCATATAAGCTTGTAATTTCTTATGCTACATAGTACAGAAAGCATCACTGTATATGTTTGTCGAGAAGAAATACAGCAAAGGGGACTCAGGAGTAGTGCTTACAACCTGAGATAGCGGTTAACTAGCTTTTTGCTAGGGCTTTCTGATAAGTATCTTGTTCATGAGACATGATCGGATCAATGTTTGTCTCACAGTTGTAAGGACTTAACGACCTTCATATGAGCTTAGAGCAAAGTCCTGTGGCAAGGTCTCTGACTGCCACGTTTGCCAGTGCAGCTAAGTGTAACAGGAGTTTGGATGAAAACTGAGATGCCCTGTGCTGCTGGATGTGGGCTTGCTTTAGCTGAATTCCATTGTAAAACTTACTTTGCAGGAAGTTGGAGATACTTGCAATTCCCAAGGCTTTTGGAAAGGAATAGGAAGGGAAGTCTGATTTATCAAATAAGCACATAATCTGGTTGCATAAAGGACTGCTTTCTGTAAAATGTTTGATGTTAGTACTGAGGTCTGCTAAACAAAAAATGCATTTACAGTTATAACATTTCCCCCACCAAAATGAACAGGTACAATCCATTCCTGTGCTCCCCAGCTCCTTCAGGCTATGGATGGACAACACACATTGTTTTGCGTTTTCTGCTTTTCAAAGAACTTTGTCCTTACCTGAACACATTGGTGCTAAATAGACATGTGGAGTCTGAAGCACAAGTTCTGCAGCAAGTGGTGGATTCTAAGGCACATTTAGTGGCCATGAAGTACTGATAGCAGCAGTGTAGCCTCTGGATTTTTGTCAGTACGGAGCTAGTCTGAGTTTCTTAAGTGAATTGAGTCCAGCTGTTAATACTGAAGTCATGAATATGCTTAGAAGTTTGCATTCAGAGCTGTACAGCTTCTTTCTTGGGATCTTTGCATGTTCATAGCTGTGTATGTGTGGAAAACCCTGCAAAATTAGCCCATTAAGATTTATCTGTCCTGTCTAATGTGTTATCTCCGCTGTTTCGTACATTGGTTTATGTATGGTTTATGTTTTTCATACATTGGTCTCAAGGCTAATATGTTCAGCTTTGAGAAAACCAGCACATTTTGCTTTGTCTGCACTTACTCTGTTTTCAATTATGAGCTGTTCCTTAAAGCTGGAGTTTTATTTGATTATATCCCATTGGACTGAGGAAGAAGTGGGAGTGCCAGACAGAGAACCAAGTATGTTGAATGTTCAGAAGCTGGACATCTGCACTGAAGAAAAGAAAGCATTTAGGACATTTTCATGTATGTGGGGCCGTGTGGATTCAGCTCTGTTTTCTGCCTCAGTCTGTTCTTAACTACCAAGTGTCTCAGTCCCATGAGAAAAACAGAAATAACAGCATTTCACAGGCTTCCGGGGATGCTTGGAATCTAAAAGTGAGTGACTCTGAGGTGCTTTTGAGACTCTAATAATGAGGCCTTATAATTGACAAAATTTTAATTTTATTGTCCAGCAGATCTGTGCAGTGATTTTGAAGCATGTCTAGACTAAGTCATTATGTACAAAAAATTATTTGATTAAAGATATGGTTTGGTTGAGCAGCTCTGGTATCTGGCCCTGTGTATGCTGAGTAATCTTTTTTTTACTTACTCTGTTAGGTCATGTTCAACCTTTTCACAAGCCAAATAAAAATAGTAAATGCCTGTTTATCTATCTGTCTATGTATAAAAAAAAACCCCACAACACCCCAAGTTGTGCCATTCTGTATGGGTTGCAGTTATAACTTTTCAACAAAGCTCTTTTCTGTAGATCTCAGTCAAGCACAGGACTTCTGAATATAGGAATACTTACTGTCATAAGACAAGAACTACTGGTCACTGAAGTTGGTCATCAGTGTTATGATTTAAACATGGGAATTTTTTAAGCTTTGTAGCCCTACCTAGACATCTTAAGTCCTTAGTTCAGATTTACTTGTGGTCTTAAGCCATCTTGAAGATTGCCACGTAACTCCTAGGAATTTCTTAGCCAAACACCCCTATTTAATAGCCTGCAGTATTGTGGCAAGGAAAGATTTCTGTTCATCTCCTGTCCCTGGTTGAATGCTTTCATTAATAGTATTTCCTTTGTTTAGAATATCTTGTGTACACTGTGATGGACAGAAATGTGATGTGGTAGTGAAGTGCCAGTCTTCTGCTGGATGAGTTTTGCCTGAAGGCATACAAGATGTAATGCAGACCTAAAAGAAAGGTGCAGGTTGAGGCAATCTTGACATTGAAATGCTTACTGAAGCCAGAACTCTTCAGAGTACATTGTTAAAATCATAAAGAATTATATCTACTTCATCTGGCTTTACTGTAGAAAGTTCCAGGGGTTTGCTAAACTCCAGGTTTTGGATCCATCTGGGTTTTGTATTTGTTTTTTTTTTCTTATTTGATCTGAGACCAGGTAATGGAGGGAAAATGACCAAGCAAATGAAGCATGCCAAACAGGAACACAAATATTACTCATCTGTTGCTCTGCAGGTGAGTATTTCTGGCTCCAGGAGAGCAACGTTTTGCTGCTAAACAAGTCTGTCTATGAAGAATCTGAAATGAATTTAGCTCTTGACCGTGTTCCCTAAATGTTTGCTCTTCTCCATTGCATGGAAATTAATAAATAGGAAAAGGAAGCAAAGCCAATTTGCATAAGCCATCAGGAAACAAGGATGTGCCAAAGGCTTTGGCAGGTGGTGCTTTATGTGGGACTGAAACAACAGAAACGAGTACACGACGTGGCCATGAGTGTGCTCTGCCAATGTAAACATGCAGGAAGACGTTTCTGGATCTGTGCGCTATGGCTGTCTATGGCAAACATGGAAATATTTCAGTCGGGTGCCACAGCTGCCTCTCTTCCTGAATGCTATAGGTGAGGTCGATGTGCTCGATGGCTCTGTCCTGCATATCTGCGGTATCACAGAGTGTCTGCCACTCTCGCACTGCTCCTCCAGCAGGCAGTGCTGCAAGATGAAGCCCTGAAAGAAGTAATCCCTTAAATAAAAAAAAAAAAAAAGTTTTCTACCTGTTTTGAAAATGACACCCAGTTAGCAACCATTTCTCCTGAAAAGCGAAATCCTGGTATAGGAGAGTAGTCATTGCTGGGCGCTTGCAATGTCTGGGGTTTCTAAGGCAGTAATTAATCTTTTATTAAACAATTGTGTATCTATCCACTTTTACTCTTGCATTCTTGGTCTCTTCTCTTTTTTTTGGCAGGCACTAAGCAGCTTTTAGGCATTGAAAAACAGGAAATGAGAGGGAAAAGCTCAAGCCAGATGTTGGAGCTTAGGTGTCTAAACATATAAAGCCATATTTTGGCAACTAACTGTGTGCCCTGGTCAGCTGCGTATGGTCAGCATCTCTGGAAGTTATTAGAAGGCGAGGTAATTTTACAATCTCTTTGACACCTCCGTTCAGTAGAGCATCGTAGCTGCAGTAGTATGTACGGGAACATTGACCACAAGAGGGCACGTGTGCTCTACAGTTCGTGTCGCTCAGCCGACGGCTGAAAAATAGCCTGGAAGAGTTCACTTAGCACCAGTGTTTGTGAGAAGCACTTGAATCGCTTTCCTTGAAGCAAAGCAAAAGCCATCAATGGCCCTTAAAGGCTACTGTGCCTTTAACTTTGTGACTGCAGTTCCTCTAGCAGCGGTATTTTTGTAACCTGCACTTTCAGGCCAAAAAGTGACATTGTGATTTGCAACACAAGAAAGTTTCTGTGAAAGTTTTCTATTGCAAACATAAAATCTGACTTAATAATTGATTTTGCACCAGTCTGGTGAGGTTTTCCATGGAAGAAAGTATGCAAGAAGCAAGTAAATATTTTATTACTAAAAATTTTATTTATAGTAAAGTGACTGAGAATTAATATTAGGTAATATTTTGCACAATGTAGAAAAAGTTACTTTCAACGCACCAAGCTTGCATCATGCTAGCATTATTGTTTGGTCAGTGTTTCAGATTTCTGAAAAAAATGAAGCATCCTACAGAGCGAAACAGGAGTGAAATTTCACAAGTAGCAGCTCAGGATGACACCCTTTTCAAGTAGGATTATGGTAAGCTTGCTCATGTATCTATCAATCATTTAAAAGGGTGGTTGTCTGACTAACTCAAGTCATCAGTTAGTCATTGCCAGAACTTCTTAAGGGGATAAATAGAACAGTAACAGCACGGTTATTATCCATAGCAGTCTGAGGCAGCAGCGTCATCTCAAAATGTCATTCCTTAGAGGAATCTCATGAACTGCAAGTGCGGTGAAGAGCAAGCATTAACTTTTCACGGAGGTCTTCAGTGCCCTTTGCAGAACAGTCATTGCTGTTTGACAGGTAACAAATTTAACCAACTTTCCACAAGTATGAGGCAGTTCTATGTGTAAGACATATTGAAAGGGAAAGCAAGAGGCAGAAGTTTGTTTCTTGCATTCTTCTGCTCGTTTTTGCGGCCTCACTCTGTTTTGAGCTGTGTTTGCATCCACTGCACACTGTGCTCATAGAAGGTCTGTGACTGTTGCTGAACGTGCAGCTGATTCAACAGACACGTGTGCTCTTGTACCATCAGCTTTTGGACGTGCCTCGTTTAGTCAGTGCAACTGAGCAAAGCCTCCAGGGGTGATCCTGGTATCCAACTGTCAGGAGGTACCAGTCCTCCAGCGTGAGCTGAGTCAGGGGAGAGGGGGCGGTCAGAGAGGGGCAGGCATGAACCGGGAGGACAAAGATTGCTGCAGAAGTGAAATGAGCATGGCTTTTTTTAAAATGCAAGCAAGCTAATGTGTAAGTGCAAACGTAAAGCAGACTAGGCACTGGAAAGGAAATTTAGCATAAAAGCCCGTCGCTTTCTACCCTTTTTATGCCAAAGGGCCTAACATAGCTTCCAAATCTGTCTTTCCTAGGTGTGTAGGGAATGGAATGGAATGGAATAGAACAGGAATAGTTCGGTTGGATGGGAACAACGGCCTAGTCCAACAGCCCGACCACTTCAGGGTTAAAGGTAAGGGCATAAGGGCATTGTCCAACGGCCTCTTGAGCACCGGCAGGTGTGGGGCAGCGACCACCGCTCTGCGCGCGGGTGCGAGGCCCGACAGACCCGGGAGCGGGAGCCCTGCCCCGGCCGCGGCGCAGAGGCGGAGCGGCAGACACCCACAGCCGCACACGCCCGCGGAGGGGCGCGGAGCGGCCCGGCCGTGCCGCGGGGCCCGCAGCGGAGCGGAG